GCATTTGTGTGTATGGAAATAAAAGCTATTAGAAGGATTATGAGCTTTATTCACTTTTTTCAACACACTGTTATTATTGTGAACACAACTGTATACCCAGTAAAGTGACTGGCCTCAGTCATTCATGCTGATAGCAGAGGAACTAAGCAGCAGACAGAAATGGAACCTAGTGCTCTTAATTGAGATAGGTACACACTATAGAGTGATACGCTTTGTTCATATTTCATGTCAGAGGTTTACAACCACTTTAACCACTTTTTGCCTGGCCTATAGTAAAATGACGGCCGGGCAGAGCTCTCGTCCCTCCAGGAGGGCGTCAAAAGACGTCCTTTCCGGATCGTGCGTTGCGCGTGCCTGCAGGGCCGCGCTGTTGCGAGATCTGTCACTGGCTGTGTACCTTGAACACGGCCGATGACAGATCTGTGTACTGGCCCTGTTGCCAGTACCATGTGACCTGCTGTGACCAATCACAGCAAGTCACATGAGAGTTGTATACAATGGATGGCTTCCTTTCATGCCATCCATTGTATACAAGTGTGTCTAGATGTGAATGGTCATAGTGATCACATGCACAGGCTGGGCCAATCACAGCCCATCTGTGTCATGTGATTAGCCGTGGCCAATCACAGCTAATCACAACAAAAACCTGAATTAATCGATTTCATTCAGTTAAATGCTTGCTTATAGCAAATAAATTCTTTGCTATAAGCAACCAAATTGTGTAAAAAAAATACTGATCACTTCCCCAAAGTAGTACAATGTTACTATGGTAACATTATACTAATTTAGTCATAGTGTAATATAAAAACAAATCTTAAAAAAGAGAAAAAAATGTAATAAAAAAAATACAAAATTGAAAATAAAATTACCAGTTTTTTTTTGTACTGTCACCAGTCAGTGTCTCTGATCACTGCCACACCAGTTATATGATGATGCTGTACTGCACTGGTGACAGTATGTAAAAAGAAATTGTGAAAATAATTTTTTTAATGTCTTTATTTTCTAAAAAATTATGACAAAAAAATTACAACTTCAAAAAACTCACCATGCCTCTTTTCAGTCTTTTTATGTTAATTTAGCAAAAAATAAAAATCCTAGCGGTGATTAACCACTTCAAGACCGGACACTTTTACCCCCTTCCTGACCAGGGCAATTTTCAGCTTTCAGCGCTATCACGCTTTGAATGACATTTACGCAATCATGCAACGCTGTACCCAAATTAATTTTTTACCATTTTTTTGAAACAGATAAGGCTTTATTTTGGTGGTATTTATTCACCACTGGGATTTTTATTTTTTTGCTATGTAAATGAAAAAGTCCAAAAATTTTGAAAAAAAGTGTTTTTTTTATAAAATTTTGCAAATAAATAATATTTCATCATAAATCTTTGCCAAAATTTATTCTGTTATCTTTTTAGTAAAAAAAAAAAATCCAAATTAGTTTAAAACAAAAATTATAATTTTTAAACTTTTTTTTTACATTTTTATTACATTTTTTTTATATTATTATTTTTTATTTTTTTTTTTTTTTTACATACTGTCACCCTAGCAGTACAGTGTCACCATGGTGACACTGTACTACTTGTGGGGGGTGATGAAGATTTTTTTTTTTTTTTTTTTTTTTTACACATTGCTTTTACACCCATATAGGATGTAAAAGCAATCATTTCTCTTTCTCTCTGTGTGCATTCATGCACTCATTGAGAAGTACTGACTGAGCTGTGATTGGTCACAGCTTGTCACATTGTACAAGCCTGTTGTGAATAGGCTTGTACCATGTGACCTCTGTGATCATTCACAGATTTCACACGTAGTAAGCAATGATGTCACAAGTGACATCTTGCTTACTACTTTGCATGTGATCACTGATTGGCCAATCAGTGATCACATGATCGGGACCTCGTACAGAGGTCCCGTCCGACGATCGGTGTTTCACTGTGTCCGGAGGACACAGCGGGCACCGGATCGCGGTGCTGCGTGCTCCCAGGGAGCGTGCACAAGCAGGGTGCGGGGAGGCCGTTTATGAACATATATACAACGTTTATATACAACGGCCGGACGGGAGGTGGTTAAATACCACCAAAAGAAATATCTAATTGTGTGAAAAAAAATGATAAAATTTTAGTTTGGGTACATTGTTGCATGACCACGCAATTGTCACTCAAAGTGTGAGAGCGCTGAAACATGAAAATTGGCCTGGGCAGGAAGGGGGTAAAAGAGCACGGTATTGAAGTGGTTAAAGGATGGGTGGGCATTAGTGGTGCACCGAAATTAAAATTCTAGTGCGGAAACTGAAACAGACAGTTTTTAATTTTTTTTTTTACATTTTATTTTACATTTAATTAGTGTGGCTGGCAATTTTGCACTGAAGTCACTAGGGGGCATTTTTGCATGAAAGTCTATGAGACGCAATTTTGCATTGAAGTCACTAGGGGGCATTTTTGCATGAAAGTCTAAGAGACATGACTTTGTATTAAAGTCTATGAGATGCAATTTTGCATTGAAGTCACTAGAGAACGTTTTTGAATGAAAGTGTATGAGACGCGACTTTGCATAAAAGTCTATGAGACACGATTTTGCATTGAAGTCACTAGAGGGAGATTTTGCATGAAAGTCTATGAGGCGCGACTTTGCACGTATTGGCACCATTATCAGCACCTTTTTTCTTATAAACATAACTATTTTCAGCAGATATGTTTCAGTCGCCGATATATCGGTGCATCCCTAATGGGTATGCAGGCATAGTTCAAGAAAGGTTAATTTTAGTTTAGTGGAGAGGGGATAGAGAAAAGATATGAAGAGGAGCTGATACTTATCAGCAAAGAGCAACAACAACTGGCACAGGTTTTCTAACTGACTCCATTTTGAGTACCTGTCAACAGCAAACATCTGAAGGCATCTACAGGCATGAGTTGATCACCTAATTTGGCCATCTGTAATCTCTTGTCTGTTGCTTTAGGCTAAACCTTAACAAATATGGTATTTTGAGTCAAAGAGTTGAACATTCAGATTATGCAGAGGGTGATGGGAGCACCAATTAAGCTCCTGACCACCATCATGGACATTTGATGCTAGATTGGGTCAGAGTTCGCAACGTACTGGAAATGCAGCCCAAAACATACAGAAATTTCTCATATGATAATTTTCCTGTGTGTGGCAGTTTTAGATACACATATATTACAGTTATCTGACAAAACGAATATTTAAAATAAAGTCAGTCAATTTGGACTTTGTTGGTTATTTTTTTTTGTCTTAAATTATAACTAAAGGCATTTTTTCATTTTGGATAGAGTAAAGGAGGATTATAACCCCTGTCAGTCTTGTTTTGCCATCTGTGTCCCTTTGGGAGATTTTCCTTCACTTCCTTTTTCATAGCCAAAACAGCAAGTGAGAAGAAATCCCTTCAAAGTGAGGGAATCCCATTGTGTGTGATCAGGGTCACCATAACTAATGATACCATTGGAAGATCTGCCCTCTATTTCTATGTTCTCAGTGATAACAGTAAACAGGACAAATAGAGAGGGTGAATCTCTCTAATAGAGACGCAGATAGCAATAAAAACCTGATGGATGTTTTCATCCCTCTCCACTCTATCCAAAGCTAAAAAAAAAGGCTTTGCCTTTAGTTATACTTTAATGATATGATGAGACTACAGTAAGAGTTTATTTGGACAACAAAACCAGTACCGTGATAAGAAAAATTCTGTTTCTTAAATGTGTGCTGATCCCAAGGCTGGAAATCCAACAGAGAAAAGCAAGGAAGCCACCAGATCAGCAATACATCCAGAAAGAGAATTTAGCAAGGCCAGCCTTTGGTTTAAGAGTCATCTACTGAGGCTGGACAGCTGGCAGGTGCTCATATAAGCCCACAAATAAATGTAAGTTATTCAGCTCTTGGGCATCTTCCAAATTAGCCATATGGCTAGTCTAGACCTTGTCCCAGTTTCACATATACTGTATGTCATGTCAACTGAGATTTTTTTGGTGAACTGGATACAAAGAAAAACAAACAGAGGGCACTCCGGCCTAGTGCATTATCGTAAGAAAATTTATTGGAAGGATAAAAAGTAAGTATTGTACTCACAATAGGCAAACAGGTCAAAGGCACATCACACTAAATAGCGGTGCCAACCCACATTGCATATAAGTCCAAAAAAATGGAACCCTGGACTTCCAACAGGCTAATGCGTTTCGAGGTCTCAACCTCTTCCTCAGAGCCACCATATATCCAGTGACATTGGGCTACCCCGTCCGTTGAGGGCAGCAAGGAGTGCATTTTCCAAGATACCTGTGATGTTACCATAACCCTAGCGAGTCCATCCCGAAGCGCAGGTGTACAGAGTTTGCTGTATTTTTGTTGAACTACATGGAATAGTTAAAAAAATTAAAGTTTTTTTTTGTGTTGATATGGCACTTACTAAATATAAAAACATGAGAAAAGATAACATAAAAAAGTGAGAAAATACCCATGTGACCAACCTGTTTTGTTTTGTGTTTTCATACATTACATTCGTTTGACTACCGTAAGAAGCAACTGCTTGTTTTGTAAAATTTATATTCCTATTTTTTTTTTAAATAAATAGCTCTAAAGTCTCAATGGCATATTTTTTTTCCTAAAAATATATGGGCACTACTCAAACATTCTCCACTAGAGGGAGCCCAAAGATTTGCAATGAACTGAGTCAGTGTGATTCACGTAAAAAATAGTCTGCCAATGCATACTTAGCAGAGTCAGCTTACTTGTATTACCGTTTCATAATGCCTGTTTTTAGTTACAAAATGCCATACATAGTATAAAAGTGTCATGGAACTCTGATTAGTTTAATAGTGTCTATATATAGGCAATGTAATGTGGACAGTCTCCTTAGCATATTTTAGCATATGGTATAACTACACACTCAACTGCTAAGGACTCTAGACTAAGTTTAATGCACCTCTTTTTAGATTGTTAATGTTTGAGGATTTCTTTTTCCAGGGTGATGCTGGAAGGCCAGGACGTAGTGGACCACCAGGGCCATTTGGAGAGAGAGGAGATAAGGTAACCTGACATGGACAAGACTGCTGTTAGAAATCACGGGGCCCTGTACAGCCTAGCTGACGGGAATAGTGCACCAAGCCTAACAGGCGGCTCCAGCCTCATGAACAAACCTCTCTTTCATGCAGAATACCTGTGAGAATGAGTCTTTAATTATGTTTTTTTTTTAATTATATTTCTTACATTTTTTAAACAGCCTGTGGGGGTTGGTGAGATATCAGGGGTCTAAACAGACACCCAACGTGTCACTTTTGAGAAAAAGATTGAGGACACAGTTTCCTCAATCCTGTCTCTAGCTGCAGAGTGAATAAACACGTACCTGATTGGAGACTGAAATGACGAGGTCGGCCTCACTTGTGTCACTAGCCCTGACCCCACTGGAAGTGGAACAGAGGGTGTGTAGGGACCAGGGGGACAAGAGTGCCAGCAGATGTTGTTTGCAGCTCTTGCAGTTGGAGAATTTGGAAGACTGATGAACCTCCAATTCAGGAACAGTAGTGTTATGCAGATCTGGTATGGTAGGTCGCCAAGTGTGCACCAGAGAAAGGCAGGAGGCAGGGATGGGAGACAGAAGCAATGTCATAGGAATAGCCGGGGTCATCAATGGGCGGACAGCGAGGTACCAAATCAGAAGCAAGCCAAAGTCAGGAGCAGAGCCGAAGTCAGGAACCAGTATCAAGCAGGAGAGTAATCAGAGTCAGGTCAGGAACAAGCCAGGTCAGCAATAAGGAAATCACACAGGAACGAGCAGGAAACGGGGAACAGCTGAAGACCAGTCAGCGCTCAGCACAGGCAGAGGCACCTTTTAAATAGTCCATTTAACACCAATCTTCACCATGCACGTGCACGTGCGTGTGCGTGATTGTGCATTTCTGTGCACATGCGCACGTCTATTCACCAGCCTTCTCACAGGAATTCCCTTACACAAGGCGGGCCACAGAGGAATTGGTTTCAGTAATTGCACCCACTCCTGCCGCTCTGGTCCCCCCCTGTTGAAGGGGCCCTGTACAGGAGGGAAGGTGTTACCCCCTTATCAGTGGCCCTGGACATGGAAACATTTTGATGCTTTCTGTGCACTTACTACCTGAATGTTGGTACTTTTGGAATATGCTTATCATAGAAACTCCTTCCATTAAGATACTCTTTTTTTATTTTTACTATATCAGAAGACACATGTTTTATAGATATAGATAGATAGATAGATAGATAGATAGATAGATAGATAGATAGAGATAGATAGATAGATATACTGTATATACAGTATACATTAATTGCTCAGAAGCGTCCAGATAATTGTCACTTAAATCCTCATAATTTACCTATTCTCTATTTCTCTAATTTACAATATAACATTAAAAAAACTATTAGAATATTATATAGCTATATTCTTGTTTAAAGGTTTTTGTTTTTTTTTCATATTTAGATTTCTACATTCTCTTCTTTCAAAAATGTATGAACAAGGGCTATTCATTTTTCTCATTCATTGAGGGACACAGGGAATCTTTAACTTTTGGATAATAGGGCCACCTTCAGGGGGATTGGACAGAGCCAAATTTAAAATCTGTAGGCCAACCCAGGGTAACCCCTCCTATTTTCAGGATGTCTCAGTTTTTTGCCAGTGTGCTGTGTTAAAGACTAACCTGTTTTTCCTAGCACTTTTATATTCATTATTTCTTGAATCATACCTGTTTCTACATTGCTGCTAGAATGACGTTCGGACATTGTTTTTCATGTGGGGTGCTTTCAATATTCCGCTCAGATAAAGGCTACCTGCAGAGTGCTTTCCAGGTCCAGAGCTGCTGGCATTATATCAGTGCTTGCCCTACTTTTGAAGACTCACTTAGTGAGTAGGCTAATTGTGTTGAGCATTGGCAGCTACTTCATTTACCTTGGTTGCTGGGCACCTCCCGATTCCAGCCAGTTTTTGATGCACAATCACTTAAGGCATGGTCAATGTCTGCAGTTTGGAGTTCTATTGCCCTCTGCTGCTGGAGTATACAAGGTCTTTGGAGTCATATTTAACTCTGTAGTGTGTGATTGGATCCTCTCCTCTCTTAGCAAAAGTTTTTTTCTATGGTCATGCAAGACTTTATGACCCAAATCACCCACTTATTTGCTGATTCCTGATTGTAGATTCTATATCTGATTTGCCAGCAGCCTCAGGTGCTTCCTTGCCATTGGCCACAGAGACACTAACTCTAAGGGGTTGATTAACTAAATAGAGTGTGCACCTTGCAAAGTGCAGTTGCTCCAGAGCTTAGTAAATAAGCAGAAGCTCTGCTGACTTCCATTATCCAATCATGTGCAAGCAAAATTCAGTTTGTTTGTTTTTTTTATATTCCTTGCATGTGATTGGGTATTCTCTGCAAAGTGAAGCTTTACCTCATTTACTAAGCTCTGGAGCTACTGCACTTGCAAGGTGCATAGTCTATTTGCCTTTAGTAAATCAACCCCTCTGGGGTAGGCAGTGCACTTTGCAAAGTGCAGTTGCATTCTGCAAGAGCAGTTGCTCCAGAGCTTAAAAAATGAGCAGAAGCTCTGCTGACTTCCATCATTCAATCACGTGCAAGCAAAAGTGCTGGGGTTTTTTTTTTCACATTTCCTTGCAGGTAACTGAGTATTCCTTGCAAAGTGAATCTTTATCTCATTTACTAGAGTAATTGCACTTGCAAAGTGCAGCTGCACCTTGTATGGTGCACAGTCTATTTTCCTTTAGTAAATCAACCCCTAAGTCTCCTCAGTCCTTGACTAATGAGCTTACCCCTAAGTAGTCACAGTCTATGGTTATTACTCCCAAATTAAATGAGACTTTTTCAGCTTTGATTGCAGTGTGCACCACTCTAAAACTGGAGGATTCAACTGATGCTTCTTCCAGTACTGTTTCAAGCCTTGGGTAATTTGCACTTGTTTTTCTAACAATTGCTCTATGGATATTTTAGGCATCCTGAAAAGCTGATTACTCCCTCTAATTAGCTTTGTATCCATTTGGTGAGGATTTGAGGACCACCCCAGCTTGGCCTTTGTATGACGACCCTTTTCCGCAGAGCTACCCTATACTCACTCGCGACAGGGCCGCCGGGCAGCGAAGAAACGGCGTCACCGATTTTAGACGTAGCATCGGGAGAACACAGATGGACAACGATGTCGCCTTATAGAAATCTCAAGGGATGAATCTCGCACGAGTAGGCTACCTGATTGGAAACGATTGAATTGAAATTGGCCATTCAATTGACCGTAGACTAAGAACGTCGACAGGAAAGGAGCGGCCAGGGTCCAATGTGGTGCATATGGATTTCCATCAAGAGATACAACTCCAGCCCCAAGGGGAACCATTTCTGCCCTTTCTATCTTGAAGTCCACGCCCGTACAGAAATGTAGCTGCTGCCCTCTTACTCCTTGATCAAGGAGCTTTGTGGATTCCTCCGGCCTATCATGACTATCTTCCCCTTGTCCAGAAATGGAATCGGGGTGCTGAGGGACAAGGGTCTCCATGTGTCCCCACAACCAATTTCCTCATTTTCCCTGGAACCTGAATCCCAATACCCGCCGACAAAAAGGGGGTACAGCGCTTTTGTGCCGCCTTTCTAGTTTTGATTAGGGGCAAGGTTGTGTTGAAGACTAGAACTTTCTTATTGCCTAAGGTAGTTTCTGCCTTTCATCCCAACCAGGGCATGGTTATTCCATCCCTTTATAAAAAGGAAGGGTTATGGTCCCTTATATTTGGCTCTAGTTCACAAAAAATAATTTTTCTTCCAGTTTCTGGATGTGGTTTGGGCTGTGAAAGTGCTTCTTTCATAAGGAATAACCATTTTGCCATTCTGGATATACCCCCAAAAGGGCGTGTCAGCTTCTTGTTTCACCATTCCTAGGTGACTATCATCTAAGCTTATGGTCTCAAGGACTGAGTTCCACCCTTTCCTGCTAAGGTTCACTCTACTTGGTCAGGGAGTGCTTTTTGGTCTTTTTGGCATTAAGCATCTGTTTCCCAGATTTGCAAAGCTACCCCCAAGTCTTCTCTTCGCATGTTCTACCAGGTGAATGTTTCTGCCTTATCTGATGCCAGCTTTGGCAGTAAGGTCCTTCAATCAGTGTTTTGAAATGTAGGCAGTTCCTAGTTCTCTGTTGTTTTCTTGAGCCTGCTAGCATTCCTTTGCTCTGTTTCCCACCCCTCAGTTAGACTGCTATTGTGCAATCCTAGGGTTAAAGACTTGCTGTGTCCCTCAGCAGATGAGAAAGTAAAATATTTTATGATGAGTACAACAAAACTATTTTGTTTAAAGGAAAAGTTCACCTTTGCAACATATTACATGTTCCACCCGTTTTTAGGGTGGAAAATGTAACATGTTCCCATAGCAGTAGCCACGCCCGCCACCCACCCTTTCCTCTGACTTCTCCCCATAATATCTCTCAGATTTGAAAACAGCATGGCTGTGTGGGGCTCCACCCACACAGCCACGTCATTCATTCACGGACTTCCATGAATAAATGAACTGCAAGTCCCTAAAGCTGTGGACTTGTAGTTTCAAATGAACTACCACAGTGCTCTGGAGTTCCTTGGTAGTTCATTGAACCTTCCTATAAGAATATCTGCTTGCTCGTACATCCCATATGGCAAGCATATATTCTGACAGGTCTGCAGGAGATCTGCATGGCATCAGTGATCTACTGATCATTGGTGCCATGCTTTCTAGGCTCCTTTGAACAAAAATAATAAATGCACATTTTTTTACCTGAAAAAAGTGTGCATTTATTATTTTTGTCCAAAAGGTGAACTTATTCTTTATGCTACACTCCATCCACACCTTTGGTCTTGCAGAGTTGTAAAGGATCATTTCCTGTTGTTAAATTGCAATTGCATTCCAGGAAGTCATATAAAGAACCCCCACCCATGCCATGTCCTGGCTGAAGGATATTCAGCATCATCTAGCTTTTTCCACCCCAACTGTCCCTGGCCCACCCCATTCATTCACTGGATTTCAGTTCTTTTAGTGATGGCAGCTCAGCATCACGTGTGGGAATTACCTAGGGCTTACACAGTATATAAGATATAGCACAATCTCAACCAAATGTATGTTACCAATAAAGATACAAATCATATCATTGTGACGTTTGTAAATATCTGTAAATAAAATGTCCTTATATTGTAGACAACTGAAAAATCCTCCACTACCATGCCATGAAACAAATATTTTCTCCCCTTTGTACAAATACAATCTGTGCAGTGCATGCATGTACCCAGTGCTCCTATCATGTGCTTACCTCAATAATTTAATAATAATTCAAGGTTGAATGCACTTGTTGCCCCACAATGGGCTTTCAGACTTTCACTACTCCACTGGCCTGCATCCTCATCTGGCAGCGCCCAACTGTCATGGGAATAGCATGTAAAATAAATGGGACCAAAATAGTATTCTCTGTATAATTCTTATTTAAAAGTCCCAATTAAAAACCTCACATTAAAAAGCACCCAAAGTGCTATGTTATCGTTATTACAAGACATGGATTCAGTGCATATTTCTTCCAACCACTCACACCGCTCAACTCACCAGTGTGCCACCTGTTCCTATACATATTAAGCTCACAAGGCTGGCATGGGGACTCCCACACATGAGCAGATATGCTGGTAACCAAAACTTTGACATTTGTGATGTCTGTGTGCATATGCAGAAACCTACTGCGTATACACAGATGTGCAATCCCGCATCACACATGCACCCGTAAGCAAATATACCTCCTGGGATGTGTTACGTAGACAGTCCAATGTCATCCTAGCCTAAAGGAGAAGGAAAGAAGAGCTGCTTTACAGCACCAAAAATGTCAGAATGCATTTAATAAATAAGGTAATAAGCAACAATTATCAGAGAGGAGGAGGTACTGTAGGTGCCAGATTGAAGAAAGTAATTTTAATGGCCGAAGGTCTGCTTTAATGTTGCCATTTCCAGTTCATGGAATTCAGATTACAATATCTTGGCAGTAATGGAGGATTGGAGGTACCATAAATGATTTCTTAGGAACAGAAATGTAGCTTTTTTATTACAGCATATTTAAATGCATAATATTCTTATTTATGGTCTTAAAAAACATAAAGCATTTACTGCTCTAACACAAGTCTCTTTATTTCTTCAGGGTCTCCCTGGAAATGCTGGGGCTCCTGGAGCTCCAGGTCTAAAAGGGAATAAAGGAGGACCTGGGACAGCAGGACCAAAAGGAGAGCCAGTAAGGCATTGTCTTCTCTTTTATTGCTGCTTGCTCTTCACTGCCTACTTTATGCTATCTCTCATACTTATATTGTGGCTCCCTAGCCATTCTTCATCTCCATGGCTTCTGCTTCACCAAGATCTTTTGCTGCATTAGGCTTTTACTCATTAAATATCTTTGTCTAGGGTCGCAGAGGAGATCCTGGCACCAAAGGAGGTGCAGGCACTGATGGACCCAAAGGAGAGAAGGTGAATAAAAGTAGTTACAGGATATGTGTTGGTGCAATAAGCAATTAAAATGACCATGGTGGATGTGCTCTCATAATGTATTTTGGTTGCAGGGAGATCCTGGTCCAGAGGGTCCACGAGGACTTGGTGGAGAAGCTGGCCTAAAAGGAGCAAGGGTAGATACTACATTTTGCCAACTACCTAAGTAACTGGCTCCATAATAAATCTGTTGGCTTAGCCACTGTTGAATCATCTATAATATTATATAATCCTTACCTGTATTCTTGTAATATTAACCTTTCTAAAAGAGAAGTATGGTCAAACCTTTTTTGGTCATATGTTTCTTCTGGTTAACAGGAGCGCATTTACTTTTGCACTCCTGCCACCCAAAATCAGCTGACAGCAGGCTAAAGTCTGCTGTCAGCTAACATCACAGAGCTGCTCTAGGCTCTGGAAGGATCTCAACATTTTTGTCAACCAGATACCTAATTGGCAGCTGATTTACTGCTGTGAGCATGAGCCAGCCACTCCTGCCCCCCCCACCCCAGCCCAGCGTTCCAGTAAGCGTTTGAGGGACAGAGCAGAGAGTGGTGACTGACAATCACTGCCCTCTGCTCAGAGAAGACTGAGAACTGAGTGATCAGCCGTCATGCATCATTATGCATCGTCAGTTTTTGAGCTTAGTGCTGGCGGAGACAGCTGCTGCATCACAGCAATGCTGCAGCCATAGAGATGATTATCTTTGTACGTTTTTTGTTTTTTTTTTTTGCTTCCCATACTTCATTTTTAAATGGCATGTATTTGTTATTTCTAGCTCTTAACTATAAAATGCACAGGGCACAGTCATGTAGTGCCAGGATTCAAAGAATTAAAGCCCTGTGTTGTCAGATCAGTCATTGCATTTTTACATGAGAGTGACAGTATACAAAGTACTGCAGTATGACAGTTACACATACTGTATCTTTATATTCTTTACATTTAAATCACAATATTGAGAAATGTTTATATTCACAAAGGCACAGGTTTTTAATCCTTAAAGAGAATGTGACTTTCCTGGAAAATAGAAATATTGTCACAGATCAGCTGCGGAGCTGATTTATTACCTGTAGTTCTACCAACAGGTAAAATTTATCTGATGGACAAATGTAAACAAGACGGCGCTGCCACCAAATAAAAAATAAATAATAAAATAAATACTTAATTCATCAAAAAACTCTGTGCTGTGTCAATTCATCTGTGCGGCACAGTGGCTTAGTGGTTAGCGCGTCTGCCTTGCAGTAAACGGGTCATAGGTTCAACTCCTGACCATGGCACCTCCTGCATGGAGTTTGCATGTTCTCCCTGTGCTTGTGTGGGTTTCCTCTGGGTACTCTGGTTTCCTCCCACGCAAAGACATGCTGGTAGGTGAATTGATTCCTGTCCAAAATTGGCCCTAGTATCAATGTGAGTTAGGGACCTTAGATTGTACAACCCTTGAGGGTTAGAGACTGATGTGAATGTACAATATATATATATATATACACCGTATATATATATGTAAAGTGCTGTGTAAATTGACAGTGCTATATAAGTACCTCAAATAAATAAAAAAAACACAAATTAATCACTAATATACAAAGGGTCATACAATACATACATAAATACAAAGTGTCCTGTGCATAAATATAATATACAAAAAGTTGCTAAATTACTACATTAAGGTGTCCAGTGCAAAAATTCAAATATCCCATGCACTCTTTCATACAAAAAAAAACTTCTCTATATGCCAGTGCTTTTTTCCAATGGTTAAATTATCCCATACTGAAAAATAAATATAGGCTTCAATTCAATACTATCAGTACTTAAAGTGGAGCTCCAGTCTCTTGTGAAAAAAAAGTCAGTAGCTACAAAAACTGTAGCTGCTGACTTTTTAAAAACAGACACTTGCCTGTCCCACGATCCAGTGGTGTGCTCACCCCAGCCGGGTTCACTGGCTGTCCTCTGTCCCCAGCGCAGGCATCCTAATTGTGGGCACCTAGCTGTGACAGCTTGCGGCTTCACAGCCAGGTGCCCATTGCTCATGTGCAAGCAGAGTTGCGCATTGTTAATGGTCCTGCGATCTTCTGGGACCTGTCATGTGTCCCAGAAGGCTGGAAGGGGACATAACTTTCGCTTGTCAAGACAGTCAGGGAGGAAATTGAAGCAGGTGCCTATCAAAATCGAGTACCCCCTTACCATCCTCCAAAGGTGCCAATTCTTAACGGGGAGCGGGAAACGAGTCCTTAAAGAGGAACTTCCCCTTTCGGGTTAAGCGCTGCTTTAAGGACTTGCACACATGACAGCACATGTTAAAGTGCACATTATAATTTGTGTTATCACATGCATTATGGTGTGTTTGTGTATATATATATATATATATATATATATTATGTTGGAGTGTGTTGTCATTCATTATTAATAGCACACATAAGTGGTGCCCTACACTACAGAACACCACAATGTACAATTGCAAAGGTACTGCACATTGCGGTGCTCTACAGTTTAAAAAAAGTATAGCAGGATCCATTTCTTTTGCATTGAAGTGCATCTACAGCCTATTCAGAATGTGTGTGTAGAATTTTGGTGTGAGTAGACTTGTTTCCTATGCTGTGATTAGATCCTAATGGTGAATGAATACCCTACATCCACAAATGCCCCCAAGGTGGGAACACTTCGGATGTAGCCTAGGTGTAAAATTTTAAAGGTGTGTATAAAATCGACAGCTGTGCTTGTACTGGAGGAAGTGGTGATCATACAGTATACTAATCCAGTTCTGTCTTAAAGGGTGATCGTGGAGCTCCGGGACCAAGGGGAGGACAGGGACCAGTTGGAGTGGCTGGCAAAAATGTAAGTGTGCTTGTTGTGTTTTACTCTGGCCTTAAAGTATATATGAACCCTTACCTTGTAAAACAACCCATTCAGTTTAAAATAGAAATACAAGGCAAGATATTTGCGCATACGTATAAAAAACATTATGAATACTTGTTTTTTCTTTTTTTAAAAAGCGATCACATGACCTCTGTTCTCAGCTGCATAATGAGCTTAGAGAGGCGGGAGTGGAGACTGCAGCCAGAGGGAAGGTGTACACTGATCTTCCAAATGAATGGCTGTGTAGGGGGTACATGTCAGCACAAGTCTTGGCCCTTGAAGGACATGCAAGCTATTCTTCCAGCACAGCCAGAAAACTGACCACAGTGGGATGGATGTGCTTTTATGCCTAGCGTTGTCAGTTTAAACTAGGAAAGCAGGGGAAACTGTCAGGATCACACAAAGGAAGAAGCATACACAAGAACAGGATACTTTTTGACACAAGCACATGGTGAAACACATATCAGGAATATGAAATGTTGGGGAATTATACACTTTAAATTGGTGCAGTTATGCTCTATGTTTCGTTGTAATACAGAAGTCATGTGTTAATAGTAATACATATAAGGTGCTAAGTAAGGGCAAAATACTTTTCTAATAAATAGTCTCTTTAGCAAAGTATCCTGTTATTTCACAGTATGGTATGCAGCTATTCTCTGCATGATGGTGCTTCTGTTTAATACTTTAACTCGATACCACTGATTTAATACATGATTCTTAGTGGTGGTTTGAATTTAATCTGTTGCTGTACAATATATAATTTGCCAGAAAATATACTCATAGATCTGTCTTATCTGTGAAGAATCATGCTATATAAGTATTTAGTCAGTTATAATTCATTTGTTTCATGCACCTATACAAATCAGAAGTCATACTGTATAATCAGATTTAAAAAATCACCATCTGCAAATTCTGTTGCTTTTTAAATTGCTTTGAATAAAGCTACTCATCATTGATACTTTGATCTCTTTCATAGTCATTTGCCCTGTTTAAATAGACTGATACTCGTATATTCTTTGTTAACATCATCTGAATTGTTTGTATATCCCTGATCTATGTGTAGCGCTACCCCCACAGGGGCCGCTTGATCACGCTTGTCCCCAGTGGTTGCCCTGACCTTGCAAACCTCTCACCATGTCTAACACTCTGGGTTCAGACATACTTTAATAGTATGAAATAATAATGCAAGAGACATGATTCCTTAGTTACACCTCTATATTAGGCCCGTTCAAAAGAGAAGACCACAGAATGAAAGTATAGGAGGTATATCCCCAGTTAATGCATAAAAGCAAACCACTGTTAAAATGGAAAAAAACAACTAGCAATGGTTAACATATTATACGGTCACAAATAGTACATTGTGACAATGTAACTACACCACCATCAGGAGGGGAAATAAAAGGGTTGTCAAAACTAATCAGCTGCCTCTGGGCCACTGGCATCACAATAGTGAATATATATATATATATATATATATATATATATATATATATATATATATATATTATCTGGCATACCTGGGTATAGAAACCGTAATTTGAATAACAATAGCTTAGATGCGAAGAGGTCTCTTTAACTAGAAATCGCAACTTGAGTCCTGAGATGTTTTAAGTTCCTGATGTGATAGTAGCTGTTGTCTTCTGCTAGCAATGATGGGGCCCATGTACAGTAGTGAGTAATAGTAATTCAATGAAGATAACAGATAGGCTGTGATAAATGCTCAAAGCAAAGGTCTTCTGGTAACTGAGGTGTAAAGGCGTCTGTATGCAGTATCTCTACAGTGTTGTCAGAAAGAAGTTGGACATTCACTTGCTCACCAATATACTGGATAGCATGGACTCCTAGGAACAGGGTTCTTGCATAGGCTCTTGCTGTTTGTAGTGCAGAGTTACCGCCTGACAGTGCGGCAAGCAGGGATGACTGGCTGAAGACTGGATAGTGACGGTCCCGGTGCAGAGAAGCTGATGCGATCCCACTGTGGTAAGCGGCATCACTGGTGTGCTAAACTGGTACTGAGTCCCTCAGAAGTAGCCGGCAAACTGTCTCTGGAGGAGAACAGCAGTCCCCCTGTGTTCAGTTCTGAATCCTGCAACCAGAGAGTGTACTAGTTCCATGCTGTGAAATATATCTGCTCTCCCAGCAACCTTGAGGTTCCCTGTCTCTCTGGTAGTTGTAGTTCAATCAGTACTCAGAAAAACAGTATGTATTGGCTGTAGGACTACAGATCCCAGGATTCTCTGATGTCAGAAAAATTGGATCTACTCTGCTAACAGGAAGTGATGTAGCAGTCCCAGTACTGGGCACTAGGGAGAAAAAGGTGTATTCATAGTCTCATCTGTAAATGTCCCTGAATGGCATAATGATATAGCCAGCACCTGGTTACATATGTCTTCTTCATAGTCACTGGTTTCTACCCCACACAGGGTTTTCTTAACACTTCAGATCAGGTTTGTTTTGTTGCTGTGTAGGTGAAGAGTAATATTTGTTTCTTCTACAGGGCTCACGTGGAGACCCAGGAGACATGGGTGAAAGAGGAAACCCGGGAGCACCAGGACCTAAGGTAGATATGAGTATATAATAAACTATCTATAGGTCTTTATATATGGTTTCCATCCTTCTTAACTGCCTCCCACTGCCATATAGGGAAATGACGGATGGGCGGGAGCTCTCTTGTTCTGGGAGGATGTCATATGATATCCTCCTACTCTAGTTGTGCATGTGTGCCCCGGGGGGCGCAGCGCAGCGATTGGTGGTGCATTGTGTCCCTCGATCACGTTAAAGAGCCAATGACGTAGGCTCTACATGTGGACAGCTGTGTCCAATCACAGCTGATCACATGTAAATAGGAAATGCTATTTATCGGCAGTCCTCTCCTCACGCTGACAGCGTATGAGGGGGAGGAGAGCCAGTAAGCAGCATTCCTCAGAGGGGACATCTACACTGATAATCAGGGCATTGATCATCAGTGCCCTGATTATCAGTGCAGCCCCATCAGTGCTGTCTTTCAGTACCCATCAGCGCCACCTATCAGTGCCAGTCAGTGCCACCTATCAGTGCTGATCACTGCCGTCTATCAGTACCCATCACTGCCACCTATCAGTGCCAGTCAGTACTGCCTATCAGTGCCCATCAGTGCCGCCTATCAGTGCCACATATCATTACCTATCAGTGCCCATCAGAGCAACCTTTCAGTGCCCATCAGTGATGTCTGTCAATGCCCATTAGTGCCACCTATCAGTGCCCACCACTGCCACCTATCAGTGCCAACTATCAGTGGCCATCAGTGCTGCCTTTCAGTGCCCATCAGTGATGCCTGTCAGTACCCATCAGCACTGCCTATCAATGCCATCTATCGGTGCTGTCTATCAGTGCCACCTATCAGTGCCCATCAGTGCTGCCTATCAGTGCAGCCTCATCAGCACACATCAGTGAAGGAGAAAAATTACTTCATGTACAAACTTTTATAATAGAAACTAAGATAAACTTTTTTTTTCAAAATGTTGTCTTTTATTAGTTTGTTTAGCAAATAAGTGAAGAAAATGCCGTCCTGTTCCCCCAAAGGCAGTAAGATAGCCATTCTATGATGCTATATCTATTACTATGCAATCTATTAATGCAATAGCATTTTATTTTAGGGAGACAGAGGAAGACCTGGTATCAGCTACCCAGGACCACGGGGATCTCCAGTAAGTAGGAGCACCAAAATCACGTTTTCTATACATTTACATACAAAAGGGCTCTTAAAAGTTGTTAAATAATCCTATACTGCTCAATATTGTACTAAACTAGAGGCAACAATATATAGTAGGTACTATAAGGAGCTAGATCTAATCTGAAGACTACAAGAAACTCTTCAATGCCATGCCAGAGGCTTTTGAAGAGTTTCCACTTCCAAGCTATGGCAAGCGTAAGCATGTCTTCATTTCCAATACACATGACAATTGGACAGCTAATTGAAAGAGAAGAGTAGTATCACATGAGGGATGGGGGCGTGAATTAGTATTTACAAATACCAACTTTTAGAAAAGTCTGTTTTTTAGTAGGATAGGTTGGAGGCTCCAGGGTTGCTTTGAAGAGGATTCTAGTAAAGTTGCTACCACCACTTTTAATTTAGCAGGTTTAGACAATGTACATAGTTACTATTAGATGTTGCTGTCAAGTAACAGATATTTGGAAATGGGGTGTCCATTGACATGAGTTACCCTTTGTCCTACACTGCAATTTCAGACCAGACATTTTATAGACTACTGAGAGCATGTACAGACATATTCAGGCTGATATCTATCTGTTGTTTTGGTTGCTGGTTCCTTTTTGTTCTCTGGTGGTGCCATGGATATCTGTATGCTAGCAATATTATTAACCAGCACATTCTAATATGTGAAGAATTAAGTTTCTTTTGAATCACCTATGGAATCATCACACTAAAATTTCAGGACAACATAGGGTAACTTTTTCAAGTGCATTAAAGCAAGTGTTTTTGAACCTGAAATGTTGGCTGGTGATTCCAAAAATGATTGAATAAAATCATAATTCTTCACGAATGGAGGTTTGCTGGTGAGACATATTGCTAGCGTGAACTTGTGCCATTCATCATTTCACTACAAGACTGACAAAAGGCTATAACATGTTTTGTGGCCAACACATGCTTTCTTTGACTTCTGCCTATTACATACCCATGCTTTTTCTTAGTATGAAAATGTAGGTATGGGCATATTGAAGTTGAATAACTAAAAGTAAATAGGCTGTTCACTTTTCAAGAGACGTTGCTCTTTGCAAAGAAGTTTGCCCCAGAGTTAAGTGAATGTGGTGAAGTTTGAATTTGCAACGAATACGCAGGTGTGCACAAGAAAAAGAAAAATACAGCATTTTCCCTTGCACGTGATTGCATGATGGCAGTCAATAGAGCTTCACTTCATTCACTAAGCTCTAGGGCAAAATCAACAACCTATTTGACTTTACTAAATCAGCCTTATTGTCTGTGTAGCCTGGGATATGATGTAAGCACTCCAAAAACCAAAAGGGCCCATAAGAACAGGGAAGGAGGGTTTGGTCTGGGCTCTCAGCTTAGAATGATATACTGTATATTATGAAGCCAGGCACCATTTAGGGTTCCCAGCTGTTTTTCTGCCACATAAGCAAGTTTGCTGACACATGACATGACATGGCTGAAGCTTTGAGGTGGAGAGAACATACACATTTGATATGGAGGAGTAGGTGTTAATAAACAGCAAGTCCAAACCATATTTCTTTTCTGTTTTGGATATAGTACAATAGAATTAAAGTACTATCTAGGGTTTTGGTGGGGATATTTCCCTCCATCTTTTCAACCATACCAAGGTTATCACTAGAAAGTCCATCGTAAAATCTCATGGAAAATCCACCCTAAAGCAAGGGATAACTACCTAGGCAGTCTTCTTTGATATATATGCAGTTAACAACAGTGATTTGGTTTAAAATTCAAGGTCAACCTATCACAGCTGTTCTGTGGGTTGGTATCTCCCATACACTAATATGAATCAAGGCTCCAGTTTTATGGATGCGAGTGAAACTAGTATGGAAAGTTGTAGAAAAGATGGAATCATGATAGGAGGTTGAGCATATGTTGCAGACATGATGGCTATCGAATGGTCTTTTGTAGTCCATGTCTGACTGTATGGTGTATAGATTCTTTAATGGCCACGCTGTTACCAAAGATCTATAGGCCTGTCTATTTATTCTTATATAAAATGGAAAACCTTAGTAGATCATTTTTTTCTTTTTTTAATCTAGGGTGATAAAGGAGACAAAGGACCACCAGGACCTCAGGTGAGACATTATATAATTTTATGGGTTTTGCATTAAACATGGTTTTACCTTTTTTTTTTTCTGAACTACAAAAACATGTATTTATTAGGAATATGGCATATAACTACTGTTATACATTATTACTAAACAGGACAGTTCAACAACTGTGGACTGAGGAATCTAAGGGTATTTGTTTGCTTACTGGACTTTCTAGAGCTACTCAGCTTTAGTCAGAGCATTTTTCCTAGAAGAACTCTTCACAAGGGCGGTTGTACATATTATGAGCTTGAATTTCGCAGTAGGGTAAATAATGAATCAATGTTACCTTTCATAACAACAAAGTGCTGTCAGTTTGTTTTATCTGCTATGGCTTGTTGCTACGCAGAATCATTTTTCTAATGGTCATTTAATTAGTCAAACAGTGTGCAAACAACAGAAGTCCATAGCAGCCAATCAGCAATTATCATTCACCATTTTGACTGTTTAATACCAATGAAAGGAATATTTACATTGTTTCAGTGTCCACCCTCCTGCTTTGTGCATTGCAGATATACATTTAGTCTGATATTGTTACATTTGATTTTCAGTGAAATCATATGATGTTCTGACTGATGTGGACTAATTGCTCAATGCTTATTTTATGATGTTGCCTTTCATGTCATATCTATGAGAGCTTCATTTAATCATTTCACAGGGAGGACGTGGAGACTTTGGACAAAAAGGAGCTAATGGACCCAAAGGAGTGAAGGGGGAGCGCGTAAGTAGCTAACCTAATTAAAAGACACCATCATTGTCGTATCCAGTAAAGTAGTCTGCTTTCACTGAATTAAGTACTTCTTTTATAAATGTGTTTTCAGTGATTTCATGTTAGCTGGTTATGGCCAAGTAATGATCTATGAAATACAGTAACATATATTGTGCTGTCTCTCTTTTTAGGGTGACAAAGGTTCCACAGGAGAGCCTGGCCCCCGAGGACCACCTGGTGAAGCTGGAGGCGAGGTACATATGTGTATTCTCCTACATGTTTCCAACTTTATTAGCTCAAATGTAAAATTATACAGGCTTTGGAATCATCAAAGAACTCACTGGTCACAGGGAGACATCATAAATTTCAAGGCAAAAAGCCTATCTAGGACCCCTGCGTTGTTTGAAAATATATGTCTTGACACATCTCTTTTAGACCACCCATCCACTTTCCTTGGCCCTGACATACTCACTGATATACTAGCAGCCAACCTGCCTTGTGACTGCACACAAACAGCTGCTCTTTAGCTATAGTGGTACTTGGATGCACCCATGACACCTGACTTTCTTTCCCGTTCTATAGAAGTCACAGCTTGCTCAATTACATCAAGATGTTTAGACTCTGGAGGAATCTGCTTTCTTTCTATCTGTTTAACTTAATGGTGAGAGATTGATGGGGTCAATGAGATCTCTCAACAACTGCAATGGGTCCCACTGGACACGTAAAAAACCTCCCTACGATGACCATATACAGTACCTTGCAATTTGATTGTACAATGTCTGTACAATCTCCTATATAATTTGAGGGCCTACCTAAACAATCCATTCCGTTATTATCAAACCAGGCAGGCATTTGTTCTGCACAAAGGCAAAAATTCATCTAAGGGTCATTTTATAGTGTACAATCTAGGCATCTTTGATAGCTAATATTATATACCATTGACAAAAGATTGTAACTTGTTATGTTTTCTATATTTTAGGGTCACATTGGACCACCTGGTGACCCTGCTTTGACTGTGAGTAGTTTATGATGTCATAATAAAATTATGTAATTGAGAGCAAATGGTAATGTATTGATTGATCATATGCCATGTCATTACAACATGCTTTGTACAGGGTAATTACACTGTATATCTTAAACTCCTATATAATATTGCTTTTAACAATGCATAACAGCTGTATTAACTGGATGTGACAAGATGATTTGTTTTTATTATTACACAGGAATGTGATGTCATGACATACGTACGAGAGACATGTGGATGCTGTGGTTAGTTTTCATTTTTTTCACTGCGATTATTTAATACACACTACTAACTGGGACAAATGTTTCCAACAACTTCGACTTTATGAATTATTATTACCTTGTAATTAGCTTGCTTTTAGCGTACTGTATATATTTTTTGTTATGTTCACTGCTAAAAAAAAGAGCATAGGACAGGTGTATTGCAGTAACATGTGCATTGCTGATGCACACATATGTGAATAGGGCCTAACCCCTGGTTCACACATATATGCGGTCATGTGGACCACATTTTGCATGGGCACAAGAGCCCATTCATTTGAATGGACTCCCGTGCCCTGTGACACGCAGGGAAGAAGTCCTTGCACTTCTTCTGAAAACGCAGCCCGCACGGGAACCTCGGTTCCCAGTACGGTTGCGTTTTAAAGTGTGGGCGGCGTGCCATTAGAACTAATGGTACCCGCCCACGGGTCCGCATTCTTCTGTGCGGGTGGTGCGGCTACATGGATTTTCATGCGGATCCGCAGCGGCACCACCTGCACATATGTGAACCTAGCCTAAAGGTTTATTATAGTTCACAAGAATGGGTCATTTAGTTACAACTCATATGCCCTAACGTGGCCATTTCAAAATCTTATCTTAGTATATTTGAAGCAGCACTTAGACCATTTTTTTTTTTGTTTTGATTATAGTAGATGAGAGATAGGACCCAGTCAGAAAATGTATTTGTTCAATAAACCAAACCCTTCATTCTCACTAATAAATTAATATAAATAAAGCTGCAGCACACAAAGTTATTAACTTTCACAAATATATACTACTCCAAAAGTGCCGTGCTAACAAGTGCCAATTCTAATCACATGATAAAGTGAAATAATACGTGAAGTCTGAGAATAAACAGACAAACTGTAAAATACAGAAATTTACAAACTAAATTCCAAAATTAAACAAAAGTGTTTATGACGTTAACCGATTTTATTCCAAAGGTCCATGTTAATCCATAACAAATAGTGTGACGCTAGAGTTGATTTACTAAAATTGAAGAGGGCAAAATCTGGTGCAGCTCTCCATTGAAGCCAATCAGCTTCTAACTTCAGCTTGTTCAATTAAGCTTTGTTAAAAAAAAAAATACTGGATTCTATACAGAATTGCACTGGATTTTGCACTCTCCAGTTTTAGTAAATCAACCCCAATATCTTCACTCGGTTATGCACTATAAATTTCAACGTACAAGTGAAAAAACCTCCATTGACAAGCAAACAAGTGGCTCCTCACCTTATTATTATTACAGGTACTGCATTATATAGCGCTGTCAATTTACACTGTGCTTTACATATATTGTACATTCACATCTGTAACTAACCTTAAGGGAGCAAACAATCTATAGATCCCAAACTCGCATTCATACATACACATACGAGGACCAATTTAGACAGGAGCCAATTAACCTACCACCATATCTTTTAATATAGACCTTTAAATTAGAAAAGGTCATATAGCGTGTGTTCCCCTTTAAGCTGAGATCAGCTCTGGGCACCTAGCTGAATGTTGTCGGCTTTTCCTCCAGTAAACGGCTCCAGTAGTTATATGTCTACAGGCCATGAGAAGATATAAGATATACAAACAGTGCTCTCCATATAAAAATGTTATGGAAATATATAATAAAAGCAAACTCGCAAAATGCTAGAATATGGGGCTAAACATAGATTTATTGTGTTGCCTTTGTTCTCAATGTGGAGATTCACCCTTACTTTTGATGCAGGTGACAGTTGTCCCCTTGTCAGAAAATGAGAGTAAATAGAATATCTGACAATTGAAGAGGGGAGAGCTCCTGATAGAGATGCCTGTTCTGTAGTACCAGTAAAAGGTCGGATTTCCCTTCACGTTTAGATTTCCTCTCACTTCCAAAAAATATTACAGGAATAAACATAGACCTCCTAAGCAAGGAAAAAGGCAATAAAAACCTGAAAGGGTTTCCAAATCTTCCCTACTATATTAAAGATTTTTTAAAAAGTCCTAGAAGTGCTTAGAGTGGAACTTAACTGTATCTGAGTATCACAAACTGAAAATGCTATTTCATGCATTTTTTTAATATTCAAAGCAAACTCATCCATTCGCCCATTTCTCTATGCTTTATTTTGTTGAGAAATCACTTTGAAATATACCCCCTAGCATTTCTAGCTGCGGCCATCTTTAGTTAGGGCAGATGATCCATGTAGCATTCACATCTCGGAATCCATCTGTCCTTAAAGTGTTTCTAAGCCCCGGACTCTGCATTCTCTCTATCTGCTTCCCCACAGTACATGCAACATGGAAGTGCAATTATTTTAGTAATATTATTATACAGGATTTATATAGCGCCAACAGTTTGCTCAGCGCTTTGCAATATAACGGGAGACAATAAAGCAACAATACAGTTCAATACAAGAGGGTTAGGAGGGCCCTGCTCCTTGGAGCTTACAATCTAAGAGATAACTGTAAATTGCTAAATGCCTTTTATCATCAGCAGTCTTGTAACGTCTATCAGTGTTCAGCCAAGCACTGGTTAAAGCTTGTAAGAGGAGTTTTCATTCTGATCTTGATTGGTTCTGTGTTGATCACATGCACTTTCCCAAAAAGAAAAAAAAACCCTCTCTAGCCATACACACCAAACTGAGCATGTGCAGTGTCTCCACACGAATATGGAGATACGAGGGGGACACTGGAAGAAGGGGAGGATCAAAGAAGTCAGGATCAAACAGCCTTTTTAGAAAATTCAGAGGATTAACCCCTTAGGTTCCACAGTGAGTAAAACAAGCATGCTTTACTGCATATACAGACTGATTTTACTGCTGTGGGGTTAGTAACAATTTATCTCTAGCATGTAGGCAGGCTAGTGCTTAGGTGAGAAACTCTCCTCCCCTCCTCCAGTTGAAAGAAAAAAAAATGCCCATGAAGATTCATGGGATGTATGTATATATTTACGAAAGATAGCAACATATGGGTTAAAATAGTTGATGTTGATTAAAAGAGTTTAGTTCTGCTCTAAATATAACAATGTTTTTTTTGGCACTGTGTGAACTGTATTAATCCTGTTCCTTTTCAGACTGTGAAAAACGCTGCGGTGCTCTGGACATTGTCTTCATTATTGACAGCTCTGAAAGTATTGGCTACACCAACTTTACTCTGGAGAAGAACTTTGTCATTAATGTTGTAAGCAGACTAGGATCCTTTGCCAAAGATCCAAATTCTGACACAGGTACTGTACTTTAGAACACTGCAGTCTACTGCTAATCATACATAGGCAAAAAATTGTTCAAACTTGTTTTCGAATAACAAACACTCGGTCATGACAGCAAACGATAGTGCCCTCATTTAATGACAGAATTTTGAAAAATAAATTGTTCAATGGACCTAAATGAATCAGTTTATAATTGGTCAAATATGCACAGTACCAACAGTTCTACTTTTAACAGGTGAGAAACACATTAACCTTTCAATTTAACGTTCATTCAGCAGACATTTTGCAACCTCTTCCTGTGATTTTTTTGGCTTTGAAAAGTGAAAAACAATTTTCTATTTGTGCCCATTAACTGGACAAAAAATGAATGAACTGTCCAAATGACAGATTTTCGAACGATTTTTGATCTAGTGTATGGCAACATAAGATTATTAGCTTTTAAAAAGAGAATCTTGTTTACATTTTTTATTTATCCAACAGTTCAGTTGTGATTTTTATATAGAACCTTTTCTGTATCAAATAGGGCATTCAAGGGTAAATCTAATCATGGCTTAAAGCCCAAGTCTATTTTTTAAATAAATGACCAGCAATTTTACCCCTTCTCCTCCACTGTCCCCATGCAGAACCACCACCATTCTGTGTTTCAGCAGCCATCCTCTTCCAAATTGAATTCCCCCCCTTCTCCAAGAGAGAGGACTGGAGTTGGTGTGGAGAGTATTTAGGCTTAAATCTCTTTTAATACAACCTTTTGCTTTAGTACTGTGTTCAGCCTTAGACCTGTTTACCCAATCACAAGCAAGGAAAATAGAAAAACATTCTTGAACATGATTGGATAATGTGTAAGCATAGCTTCACCCCATTTACTATGCTTTCGGTATAATTCTCTTGTAAGGTGCAACTTCCCTTGCAGGAGTTCACATTCTTTTTGCATTTAGTAAATCAACCCTATAAAGTATATTGTTTGGGCATGGTGGCTGGGAAACTCCAGCTGACCATTCTAGAAGTAATTAAACAGATTACAAAATAGCTTGCACATGCTGTATATAGTCCTTTTTTCAACTCTTGCTGACTGTACAAGCATACGATATACGCTTTAAAGTTTATCCATAATTAAACCATCTTGGTTCATTTGTTTCTCAAGGACACCAGATGTGAGAGTCCCAGTTTTTCTATCCACTTTGATGATCCCCTGCAAGGTCAGGTTAAAGTCCAGGAACACAAACATGTTAGTTTTAGCTAGCCTAGAGCTGCTTCTAAGGGCTCAAAGTTTTTTACCTTAATGCATTCTATGCATTAAGGTAAAAAACCTTCTGGGTGCAGCTCCCCCCCACCTTGAACTTACATGAGTCCCATCAGTTATGTGCATGAGAGCCACGGCTCTCCCAGGTCTCTCTCTCCTCATTGGCTGAGAAAGGAGTGAGCCAATGAGGAGAGAGAGCGGCTGTGAGTGAAAGGACATACAGAGTGTGGCTTGGTAGTGAGCCTGCTCAAGTGCCCCCATAGCAAGAAACTTGCTATTGGAGGCACTTGGCAGGGGGGAGGAGCCAGGACTGCTGGTGTGGAATACCCAAAACCCATTGCATAGAGTTGGTAAGTATATCATGTTTGTTGTTTTTGTTTTTTATTCTTTCCTTTAGAATCATTTTAAGAATACCAGAGAATCACTGTTCAGGGCCCTTTCTAAGGTAAAGTGATCTAAACAGTTGCCTTAGGCCCAAAAGCAAGCATGGCTCCAAGAACCAGGGTTATTGTTGCTTCTGTTTAGCTGAGAATAATGAAGGGTCAGCTGCTGAAGGCAGCCATCATGACAAAATGCAGCTGCATTTCAGCTGGTGCAGCTTAGATTCAGTGAAGCTGTTTGAACCCCTGATGTAGAATAAAATGATAATGAGCTTTGACATTCTATGCCGAGAAACATGCATCTTTCTTTGATATGAGATTTCATACTTTCTTATTCACTTGTTGCTGCTGGATGAAAACTTAAAGTGAAATGCAACTGTAGAGCTATAAATTATTGGATGACTGAGTTCCCCCAAAAGTAAAGGGCTTGTGCACATGAGCAAAAATGGCTTGCATCTGATATGCATTCAATTGCTTCAGAGTTGCTTGAATCTGCTTTTGCATTTGCCTTAATTTGAATGAGGGAGAAAAGCAATAAAAATGCCATGTATGCAAGTCCTGAAAAGTCATTGCAAGGTGAACTTATTCCCGGATTTATAAAACAGATTCCATTCTGCTCATGAAAGGACCTGTTATATTCTGTTTTCCATGTTTAAATGAATATGGGCTGGTTTTGATATAATATTAAGAGAATATTTGTTAATATAGTTGGATATCACTCTACAGGTGCTCGAGTTGGAGTTGTCCAATACAGTCATGAGGGTACATTTGAGGCTATTCAATTGAATGATCCCCGCATTGACTCTCTGTCCAGCTTCAAGGAGGCAGTGAGGCGTCTGGAATGGATTGCTGGAGGAACATGGACCCCGTCTGCTCTGCAGTTTGCTTATAATACACTAATCAGAGACACAAAACGTGACAAAGCCAAAGTTTTTGCTGTAGTGATCACTGATGGTCGTCACGACCCAAGAGATCCTGATGATGGTCTGAATTCACTGTGTGTTGGGGACGTCACGGTCAATGCTATTGGCATCGGTGACATGTTCCACAAAGAAGATGATGCTGAGACTCTGACTTCCATCGCCTGCAACAACCAACAGCAAGTCCAAAAGATGAAGCTTTTCTCTGAACTGGTTGCTGATGAGTTTATAGATAACATGGAGGAGCGACTGTGCCCAGGTATACAGAAAATGCATATACAGTATATTCCTACGAACAATAGTTTACATTAGTAAGTATATAGCATTCCATGGTTTCTAAGAGAAATCTTTACATAGATGGACAGGTAAATAGGCTGAATAAACAAAACATTATAATAGACTAAAAGAACACAGTGATGCAACTTCAGTTATTTCCTATTTCATCTAAAACCATTCCACAGACCAGCAATTTTATACATATGTATTTCTATAGTTCATAGATAGGCACATTGTAGTGTGGTTTATTATCAGTAATATTTATAGAGCTGTTAACAGTAGATTGTAGTTGCTTTAATGTTCTTAACAGCCCAAATGGTCTTTAACATCTAAATGTTCTAATCCTTACAGACCCTCATGTTGTGTGTCCAGACCTGCCATGTCAATCAGGTAATTATGACCTAAAGGTAATGTGTATCTATCCCATATTCTATAACAATATGTAGTATGTGAACGTGTACAAGTATCATTATCAGAGAAATACACAGGTAATGCCACATGTCCTCAATGCCCCCTAACCATGCATGTTTTCAGATTGTTTCCACAAACTTTCAGGTAATATAGGGGGGGGGCTGATTTATAAACCTTTTGCAGATATTTTTTATGATAAACATCCCTAAATTTGGTATTTTTTTTATTTTATATTGTACATCTATGTATTATTTTTTTTCTAATGTAAAATTAAAATTGAACACTTTTTTTAAATTGCAGCTGCTTTTGACAGCACACAGTGTAATTTAAACAAAATCTGAAAAATAACAACCCCCAGTACCTAGGAGGCAGCTGTTTGGCTGCATGATAGCTAAGATTCTTCATACTGTGACCTCAAAAGCAAAATATAAAAATAACAAACCTTTAGGTGGTCACAGACTCTTGTACTCTCCATCTACAATAACAAGTGAGATGTTTGCTCCAATAATAAGCACAAATGTAATTATTTCAAATGCTGTGTGCTAGAGCAGCCTATCATGGTACAATTCATCTCCAGTAAAAGCATAAAACAATATTTATATAATAAACAATACCAGCGCTGCAATACCAATAACATACCATATGTGATTATAAATCTAACTTTAGGAATGTGTGTTGATAAATATACAAAAATGAAATTTATTTCAAACATAAAGTTCTGTGTCCACACTTTTGTGTACAAAGAAATTATTTATCAGTCCACAAAGTGTCCACAGAAAAGTGAAATTTATTTTTCCCACCACTAAAATCACCACCGTGCAGCAAACATCACAGAGCTTCTCGCAGCTTTTAAGACTCTTAGATATTAATGGGTCATATCAGGCATGATGCAATAAACAAAAAGGCCTCCAGGTGCCTCTGTCCTTCCCACCAACTCCGCTTTCTAAACCTATAAATCTATAAATCTGTTTTGCTTTATTAGATGTCATAGAAGGAAACACAAAGCCGAAGCCCAGTATAGTAATCTTAAAAACTCTCATTATTTGTATTAAAAATGTACATCAATCTGAGATGTGACCACTGTAACAAACAGAGAAATTGGTATAAACAAATATGGAGGATACTCCACTTCTGATTCTTGTCCCACATCTGACATCACTTTCTTGATGCATTATGTTATATAGACTTTATTAAGATCGTTATTAAGAAAGTCTTGATAAAGCCTATGTGACGAAATGCGTTGCGGAAGTGATGGCAGATGCTGGACCAGAACTGGAAGTGGGGTATCTGCCATATTTGTTTATACCAACTTTCCATTTGTTGAAGCAATCGCATCTCAGACTGATGTAAGAATATTTTATTTTACCAATAAAACAGGTTTTTAAGATTACTACATCAGGCTTTGTCTTTGTATTTCCTTCTATGACATCTAATGGAGCAAACCAGGGGACTGATGGATGTTTAAAGAGCAGACCTGAGGAAAGGAGAGAGACACTTGGTGGTATTGTTATATATTGCATCATGCCTGATATGACCCATTAGTATCTAAGGGTCTTAAAAGTTGGCGAAAGTTCATTTTAGGTGATGTTTGCTGGACAGTGGTGATTTTAGCAGTGGGAAGAATACATTTCACTTTGCTATTTTTCCTGAGTGTTAGTTATTAGATTTCATTCAAACAAACACTATTGGCATTGAGGAGGGATACACTTAATTTATTCAAGTGCAGCTTTACAAGGAAAGTTGGTTGCAAACTGTTGAGAAGGTTTTTAGATGCTGCCTGCCTGGTTGCAACCAAAAAGTTCCTCAGCAAGGAATTATTTTCTTAGTTCACCTACTGTCCTGAAATGAGGAATAATCCACTTTAGATTTGGCATATGTGATGGGATGAAACATGTAAATACCTTCTGTTCTAAGAAGGCTTTACTGTGAGTCACATTGACTTAGTTGGAGAGCTTTTTGATTGTCTTAGCCCCTTCCCACCATACTCTCCATGATTATGCTGACTCAGATGGAGGTGAACGTTGTGTAAATTTCTGGTGAAAACATTTAGAAACAGAGCCCTTATACTGCTTCTGAATGTTGGTCTGTTTGTCTGCTTTTGGACATGCTGCTTTATTTTTAATAAACATCTGAGATTTAGTGAAGATGATAAAATGAAAAATTTAATAATTAAATTAACAAACAAGTCTATTTTTTCTATGTTGAGTGATTGTAAAGCCACCTGTAAAGCCACCTGAAAGTTCCAGTCACTGGACGCAACTTGCCAGCAACTGGATTGTTACAAAAGAAAAGAGAACAGTGATCTGTACCGAGTATTTACATTCTGAAAAGCATGAATCTTCAGCATTTCAGTCAAGGAGGCAGTGACATGTAGAAACAGATGAGTGTTGCTAGCAACAGGATTGCTAATGTGACATGGCCCCAACTGTGTTAGAGAATAAGATTGACAGTAGTTCATGAGAGGCTAAAATAAATCTTTTAACTGTGATCAAAATGATAATGTGAGGATGTCTTATTGAAGATCTATATATCCTTCTACTCTACCTTTTTTTTTGTGTTTGTTTTACACCGCTTCTGTTGCTGCAATTTCACTGCATGATCTATCTATCTTGCCTCTGTTTCTGACCCCTGTGTGATCTAGTAGTCAAAAAAGGGGCAGTGATATCTTTGCTGAATTAGTGAGATAAAACACCGAGGACGTTATAAAGTAAAAAGGCAAAAAGGATCGCTAAATGTCTAATAACAAATGACTCGGAGGAAAGGGAGCCCTGACCCTGTCCTTCTGACACTCACTTGCAGGTGGGAAGGGACATAACCCCGCAACTATCGTTAATTACGACCTTAATGAAGAGGGTGTGGAGATCGCCTTTCCCAAAACCATCCCTCAGGTTGCTGAATTCCTTGAGTCCCAGAAGGCGAGTTCCGAGTCCCCAACGCACTCCCAGCTCGTTGCTATGATGGTTTATACAGCTGAGAGAGCCAAGTTCTCCAATGGAGAGGAGAGGCAGAAGTGGACGGGGCTGTTTATTGACACTTTTAAAATGGTTCACACAGACATTATAGGAGATTCAGAAGCTCTAATTGGACTCTGTTAAATCAGAATGGTCACCCCACCAATTAGCAGCAAGGTGCTAAATCCCTGTTACAGGTTTAACAGGTGTATGCATTTGGGTTTGTATTTTCAAGTTGTAAAGTATAGTCAGGTATAGCTTTATACTATAAGTAGAGATAGACAGTTTGGTCCTCAGACAGGATTCTGTAGGGGCACAGTATCAATAAATCTATATTGAAGAGTTTGTCTTGTAAATGTTTTGTATTTGTATAAAATATAAAGATTATATATTTGTTTGCATATTTTGAAAACTATTTAAACATTTTTTTTTCTTTCAAATCCCCTTTCTGAAATTTCTTGGTATTTTTTTCTTGTTATTAATAAATATTAATAACAGTAGCAAGTGGTTCTGCTGGAATAACTGTATTCCTTCGGAAAGTACCTTGTTGACATCTTAATCCTCTAGTCCTTGTATGCCTATACACTATCTAATTCTCTTTATCCAAACCTCTTTAACAGCTTTTGCTTATCCATCTGAATAGGTTCAACAGTTAAAATAGTTATTTATAATGGCAAAGTTTCAAAGGAACTCTGTCCATAAAAATGAGCTTCCCTCCCCAAGTCAATTTGCCTTTCTAAAGTCATGAAGTACCTATGTAAATAGTAATGCCCTTTTGTGAACATACCTCTTCGTGTCATGCAGTCATTTTAGTAAAATGCATGCCCTGCATCACCAATCCCTTACTGTACAAGTTCATGTTGAGGTCTGGTGCTGCCTCCTCTAACCATACTGTCCTAGGCACTGTGCCCTTATGGTAAATACAAAATTGGAAGAACTTTGCTACCTAATGAACAGTCATAGAAGACCTGCCCGATTTTGTATGTGTCTGGAATCTAAGGCTGGATTTAATTTACTGAATTCTCTAAGCATTAGCTCTCTTTAGGGTAAAATACAAACATTTATGACTTCCTTTGTCCTTTTACCATAATTAAATAATAGTTTGATTGGGGAACCTATTTCAATATTCATGCCATTCATCTTATTTCCCAATGCAATGTGACCTATATTAACAGTATGTGCAAAAATGTACAGTACAGGATTATATGTGTGCATGGAAATACTTACAGCAGCTTGCCCTAATACTGCAAGCATGTAAAACAGTCTCTGCATTATTGCACTTTTTTAATGCTTTGAATGTGGCAGGAGAATCCTGAACTTGTTAGAGTTTTGGAAGATATGCTGCTTTAGTGTGGATAATCCTATTCTAAGGTATAGTTTAGCAGAGTTAGAATATGTGTGGGTAGGTACCGCCGTTTAGTCTCTCCTCTGTTCTAAATATGGTTTATGACCAAAGCCCAATAGAAATTTTGTATAATGATCATTGATCTCTATGTAATAACTTATGAATGTGAACTTGACTACCAGTTAAAAATGCCTCAAAACAGTCAAACCATGGTCAATGTACCTTCAGCATCATCCATGGGTCACTACAGGCAATGATATATTCATGTTACTATATAAAGGTCAATGATATCTCTGTCCTCCTTCTGATTATGAAGAAGAAATGGATATATAACTATGTGTAGATACTTTAGGATGTAGATGTATGTAGTATATATAGTGTGTATATGACCTGTATACATAGTATATATACACCTTTCTTTCACAGAGCTTGCCGTTGCTCAGTGTACACAGCGCCCAGTGGATATAGTCTTCCTTCTGGATAGCTCTGAGAGGATTGGAGCACAAAACTTCAAACAAGCAGCATCTTTTGTAGAGGAGGCCTCTAGACAGCTGTCACTGTCCAAGAAGGATGACGACACAGCCAACGCCCGTGTGGCCCTTCTGCAGTATGGTGGAAAAGATGAGCAGGCGATGGCATTCTCTCTTACCTACAACCTGACAGAGATTTCCCAAGGTCTTTCACGTGTCACTTATTTTGGCTCTTCCTCAAACATCGGAAATGCCATTATTTATGCCATTAACAACATCCTTCAAGATAAGACCAGGGGAGCACGAAGGTTTGCAGAGACCTCTTTTGTCTTAATCACTGATGGTGTTACTGGTGAGGAAGGCCTGAAGGAGGCTGTAACAGCAATGAAGAAGAATAATGTGGTCTCTACTTTGGTCTCTGTGGGAACAGACCTTGACATGCAGGTTCTAAGTCAGCTTAGTTTAGGTGAGAGTGCAGCCATCTTCAAAGAGAAGGAATATGCAAAGCTGACTGAAAATGCCTTCTTGGACAGATTTGTGCGTTGGGTGTGCTAACTGAGAAAACACTTAGGGTATGCCTATTACTCAATGCTCTACAAGTATTTTAATTTTTCTTTGTGATCTGGGTTGAATTCTCTTACATGTTTGAGATGAACAGCATACGTAGGATTCCACGCAGGTCACTGCAGTATAGAAAAAAGTGGGAGATTTATGTGCAGAGCGTTGTGTAATGAGTAAATGTGGTCTTGCTGGAAGATGTTTGAAAAAATCTGTTTTAATTACTGTGCTACCTTTGGACTGGCCAATTATCCACTAGTCCTATAATAGCATTGTAATTAAGAGAGCATTTTCTAATGACTTTGTAAATCAAGAGTAGATTAATAGTGAGAAAAATCAATTTAAAGGGGCCTATTTAAAAGCATGGTTCAAATGATAAGAAGATTTAAAGTTTTCTATAGTAATTATGTACATACCTGATTTCAGCAGTTTAGAATACCTCAAAGAATTTCATGGATGGTTGCTCTACTGGTGGTGTGCAGGAAAGGTGCTTCGGGAAATGGGAGTAGTTTGATAGATTGTAATGGTTTCATATATTGAAGAGAGTATAAGCAGATCAGCGAGAGTTTAACAGTCAAAATTATGCATGTGAACATATTGGGAGGTATACTTCATTGTAGTGAATACATGTTTAGTTGATTGTTATCTGCAATTGCAAACCTTTGCTTTTTGTACCATGTTTTTAAAGGAATCCCAAATTAGAGACAGACATGCAGATACTTGTAAATTTACAAAAATTCTACAATTGGCTATTCGTTTTTTCAAAAAGTTATATTTTGGCAAACAACTTTTGAAACACACCGTAACAGATTCTGCACTCACCTATAGGTAAATGAATATAACTTGAGTTTCTAAAATTGGATTATTTTTTGTTAATATTGTAACAAAGGAAAAAAACATTTTTCTGTGTGACATGGATAAGCTACTGAACATCGATACAGTTCACAGTGTCACATTCAGACATTGTCAGTGTTGCTGTTGCTTATCACACACATGTGGTGCTAATTACAGGTCACATGACATGGCGACCTGAATTTAAACCTGTGGCAGGGGTGGGAAGGGGGGGAAACAAGAGGGTATTTTTGTACACTGGCAAGAGAGAATAAGGCCCACACAACAGTTTGTTGTCACATGATGCAGAAACCCAGGAATTAATGAACTATTCCATTGTTTTACTGGAACTGTACGACAATAAAATGTTCTCCTGTCACACTGTGTCTTTTTTCTTTTTTTCCTTTACCTCCAATAAAAGCATGCTTTTAATAGAAAATAATAAAAAATCACTTTGTCTTTAACTGTCTACAGAATTTGAGGAAATGCAAAGAAAGATTTGTAGTATGTTCTCTGAAAATTTTATTGTTACCAGTATTTTCCATTTTAGTTGAAGAATTCACCTGTACTTCAGTCTCTTAATGCCCTAAGTAGTCTTATCTATTTACTTGTGTAAACAATCCTAACCCTGGAGTTATTTAAAAGGTGTGGATGAACCTTGTCCACTAGGTCCAGTATGAACAGCAGAATGAGTATACTGTATTTTTGTGGAAGAGATTCTGCCTTGAGCATGGTGAACATTAAAAAGATAAAAACCGAAAAGATGAGAACAAAAACAAAAATTGCACACAAAAATTCACAAATTAGTCCACAGCTCAGGCACATCCCATTATGCCTCTTGTTCCTTACTATTGGTCCACCTCTATGACATGTGGCCTCACCAGTTGAGCGGTGAAGGTGGTAGGAGGTGGCCCTAACTTCTCAACAACAGGAGCTATTTGAGATTTGCCTAAAGTGTATGTTATGTCAAAACGTTTTCTTTTTAGTGTTAGAGTAGGGAAGGGTTAAAACCCCTATCAGATTATTTTTTGTTTGTCCTACTAGGAAGATTTCCCCTTAGTCTCTTTCTTAAGACGCCACAGAAAATCTCTCTAGAGTGCAATGAAATTCCCATCTTAGAGAGTTGTCACTGACAGGTGTCCCCACTGCACAATAGTCACCAGGACCAATAGATTATAAATCTTCACAGCAGGACCACAGACTGCAATTAAAGACGTTTGGTGTAGATAAAGAGAAAACACACATTCTCACCTCCATGCTGCAGGATCAGTGTGATGCTGCAGTTCTCCCCCGCCGGCTCTTAGCCCAATAACTGAGCATCTTTTTATAGCTGATTGCTCCAATCTCGGTCAGCTCTGAGCAGAGAGCGGTGATTGTCATTCACTGCTCCCTTCTCTGCCCCTCCAGTGCTTACTGGAGCACCATGCAGGAGAGGGAGTGGTAAATAGTGGATGGGCTTAGAAAACCCAAAAAAACACATCACATAACACTTGTATAGTTACCCCTGCTCCAAATAGGTTGTGGAAGAAATTGACAATCATAAAGGTAAATGAAGATAACAATAAAATTGAGCAAAATTTAACTGGAAACTGGATAAATAAAATCACGGAAATATAAAGAGCTGGTGTGATTAGACCAAAGATACTAATTAGCTGCTCTAACTTTGGGGATGCCGCCTTGAAACCAAAGAGGGTGCTCAATTCACTATGGCTGTAAAGAAACAACTGGGGAGAAACAAAAGCGCAAACACCATAGTGTAGCATGTAAAAATAAAAAACTATTTATTAAATATTTAAAATGCACTTTCAAAAGTGACATGTACAGTGGGCAAAGCAGCCTGGGTTAAAGTCCCAGCCTTGGCCACCGGCATGGTGATGCACGTGTGATGTGATAGAAGGGAGCCACAGGTCTGCAGGGAAAGCTGAAGCCAAAAGTGGAAGCCGCCTGATGTCACTAGTTGGCACATGCACAGTAGGGTGCAGTAGAGGATGTTTGTGTATTGTAGGAGCCAAAGCCTGGAACATAATGTGAGCAACTCTTCTATTTAATTCCCCCAGTATGGATTCCCTTAATTTGTGTCTAGCCATTAATGGCAACTCCTTCATGGTAATTTGACCAATAGCATAATACCTCTGGGGGCAGTACTAAAAATAATATAAGGAACAACTGAAGGTACAATTTTAATCCTTAGTGCATGAATAACAAACCAGAGGGCTGCTTTGACACCCAGAATAATGATAGTAATTAGTGGATATGCTCTGTAATGTCAGCCGACAGCAGGCTTTAGAGTGCTGTCAGCTGATTCTGGGTTATAGGAGAGCACAAGTAAGTGGAGTTCTGTGACCCACAAGAGAAGTATGGCCAAAAAGGTTTGGGCCATGCTTCCCTTTTAACAAAGGATCTAACTTTTTTCACAGCTAAAAAAAAAATTGCTTTTACATATACTATATTACCAAAAGTATAGGGACACGCTTCCAAATCATTGGACTCAGGTTTCCAATCACCTCCATGGCCAGAGGTGTATAAAATCAAGCACCTAGGCATGCAAATTGCTTCTACAAACATTTGTGAAAGAATGGATCGCTCTCAGGAGTTCAGTGAATTTAAGCGTGTGGTACCGTGTAGGTTGCCACCTGTCCATCTGTGAAATTTCCTTGCTACTAAATATTCCAACTCAGCCACAAAGTGGTAGGCAACGTAAAATGACAGAGCAGGATTAGTGCATGTTGAAGCACACAGTGCACAGAAGTCGCCAACTGTCTGCAGAGTCAAGTAGCTAAAGACCTCTAAACTTCATATGGCCTTCAGATTAGCACAACAACAGTTTGTATAGAGCTTCATGAAATTGGTATGCATGGCCGAGCAGCTGCACCCAAGCCTTACATCACTAAGTGCAATGCAAAGCATCACAGACAGTGGTGTAAAGCACACCGTCACTGGACTCTAGAGCAGTGGAGACATGTTCTCTGGAGTGACGAATCACACTTCTTTGTAAAGTTTAGTGGAGTTGGGATTATGGTGGGGGTTGTTTTTCAGGGGTTGGGCTTGGCCCCTTAGTTCCAGTGAAGGGAACTTTTAAGACATCAGCATACCAAGACAATTTCATGCTCCCAACTTTGTGTGGAACAGTTTGGGGTTGGCCCCTTCCTGTTCCAACATGACTGCACACCAGTGCACAAAGCAAGGTCCTTAAAGACATGGATGAGTGAGTTTGGGGTGGAGGAACTTTATTGGCCTGCACAGAGTCCTGACCTCAACCCAATAGAACACCTTTGTGATGAATTAGAGTAGAGACTGTGAGCCAGCCTTCTCATATGAAATCAGTGCCTGAACTCACAAATGCACTTCTGGAAGAATGGTCAATCATTCCCACAGACACACTCCTAAACCTTGTGGACAGCCTTCCCAGAAGAGTTGAAGCAGTTATAGCTGCAAAGGGTGGGCCAACTGAATATTGAACCCTATGGACTAATACTGGGATGCCATTAAAGTTCATGTTCGTGTAAAGGCAGGCATCCCAATACTTTTGGCAATATAGCGTACCTTTAATAGAGCTCCTCATGTCTCTGGGTTTTGAGATGCTCCACCAGGTATATAACCAATCATGTGGACACTTCTAGGCACTTCTGGTTGTGTTTGTTTTTTCAGGCCTTTCATTCACCTTCTAATCCTGTTAGTAAGCCACTTCCTTCGCTAGGGAGGCAACGCTCATTACTCCATTGTAACTATGGAGGAGCAGTGTTAAGATCCTGGGCTATTCTGTTTTGGAATAAAAACACATTCTCCTGTCCAGTACATGGGGGGCAGGTGGACTTGCCTGATAAAACTAATGCAGCCACTGCATCATTGTGTCTGTAAAGGTTCAGGTCATGGTATAGCTAGTATCAGATAACTACATTCAAATGAACTTGTTAGTTTATTTTTAAAAAGGTTTATTTTTACTACTTGTCCAAGTAGCTTCCTCAGTTAGACTGTTCATGACAATCAGTAGAACTGAGGAAGACACTTGCATGAGTAGCAAAACGTCTTCAGCTGACAATCAGTAGAACTGAGTAAGCCACTTGCATGAGTAGCAAAACCTCTTCTGTGGGCGAGTGGAAATTTGGAGGGCTGCAGCAGGGATGGTTGGCAACTGTCCTCTGGGGGGGGGGTTCAGACCTCCCTGA